TTTTAATTTTTAATCATATTCGCAGTATAACACACACACACCCTTTTTTACGAAGAAACCTGAAATGAACTGGCCCAATGCTCTTACATATTGAAATAATTTATTCGAGGTATTCTAAGCTTTAGGAAATAAATAGTATACTTACAGAACTACAACCCTTTTTAATTAGGTATGCCACATTTCTTTTAAATAAACAGTATTTAGATATATGTAGAAGTCTAATTTGTTTTCTATGCTCAGTGTTTCATTTTTAAAGCTCTCATTTTTTATACCCGGCGTACGAGTATAGCAAGCACCCATAAATTTCGATCTTATTTTTGGCATTAGAAGTATGTGCGTTATACGCCGGATTTTACAGTACATAAATATTTTCGATAATCATTGTACAAATAAACAATGATTCAATTTGTGTTCTGTAATTGTTTTATCTAATTGTCGTTATTAAGTAGAATTGTATTCTAATTATTTATTTTAAAGTAATATTTTTGAGATACTTTGTAAAAAAAAATCGTCTGTGCTTTTCAAAAATCTAACAAGTTCGCTAATAAATCTGTAAAATTTTCGTCTGCTAATCCAAAAGCTTAATTGAATAAAGCAAAATTACTGTGAGCACTGAAATATTTATCTGGCAGTGAAGTGTTTTATTCTTATAGAGTTTAAAATTAATTGACTCTGACTTAAGAGCTTATAATGGAAAATAGGCGCTCAGTTTGTTTCATCCTTCGATCACATTTGATTTTATTATTATCGTCAAGTTGATAGGAAAGGTAAGTAATTTTCAAATATTTACTAATGCTATTTCTTAATTCTAAGAAATATTTAGTGACATTTATTCAGCGCGCGCGTCCATATTTTTTCTTCCGAATTTTGATTTTGATTTTATATTTTGAAATTAATAGGATTAAATAAACCTCATTATAAAAACATTCAATACCTAAGAAGTAAAATGTCTCGCTCATATTGAGAAAAACACAGTAGAATTTCTAATGCACATTTTAAACTTTATGTTCAGTTTATTAAACACATACAATGCATTTATTTATCTATAGAAATAAAGATTGCGTATTTATAAACAAATACGAGTCATTCCAAAAAATACATCAAGTAAGTTCAACGACAAAGAGTATCGAACATCTTAACGCATCAAAACGTGAAAGGAATTATGTATTTAACAGAATCAATCATTTAAATTTTTATTTTCTTTCTCAAACGTAAACAGATTCCATTTAATGAATGTAATGAAATATGTTTCAAAGAACAAAGTATAAAAATTTCTGTTGAATTAAATTTTTGAGATACAATAAACGAAAATATTTTATATTCTGATTATTCTTTTTATGGTTACGGAGTTTACATAAAAGTTCATTGCATTGAATAATTCACTATGTTTAGTATTTAAAGGAATATTCTGGATGCCATGGTATTTTAAATAATAGAGGGAAAGTATACATTTCAATTGTTGTTGAGACTTCATAAATGCGAATAGATTTCGGTTTCATACGCAGAATGTTGAGAAAAATTAAATATGCTTTGACCTCAGATCTTTTGAAGGGATTGGAAATCCAATTCACAGATTTCAACGTTTCAGAAGGGAGTGAGAGTTATATTAATGTCACACTATAAAATAATATGAGGACTATTGGTGACCCACCTCGTAATTTTGAGCCTCGGTCAAGTGACGCAGACGGCACCTGAGCTGCCCCCTCCTTTCCAGACTACTACACCACTCTATTTAGAGTATTTTGAGCCTGGACAGATTTAACGTACATTATTCCCCTTTACACGGCGGGTCTTCAGTGGCACCAGGACTCGAACCCGTGACTAATTCGTGACCTCTAGTCTACCCCGATCACACCCTTCTCATAATATCATCAGCTTTTCAAAAATAATGTTTTGTGAAAAAAAAATGTTTAAACTTGATAACATTTATTTTGGTAAATATAGTAGAGTATTTTAAACAATGTGCTTCTAACTTTAGCACAATCAAAACAAAAATAGATGCAGAAGACCTTTTTTTTTTTTTGGTTTTAAAATGCAAAATAAATAAAATAAAATAGGCATTATTTTTTTAATCTTCTTTATGTATTGATGGTTTTGCCGAAAATGACGTTAGCGACGTATTCGTATACCTTTCGGCCAATTCAATTTTCTGGGTTTGTTTTATAACAATCCTACGATTTTAAGCACTGATTCAATTGGCTAAATTCATGCGACTTCATAGTCACATGATAGATAGAAACACGTGTGTCCGGCCAATCAATTCCTGTGCTTCTCTGTTGCCAACTTTTACTTTTTGCATTTTTTTGAAAAAATGTATGTACAGGTGTCCCTTGTATAACACGGTTAATTCGTACCATGCTATATGGAAACCGTGTTATAACGAGACTTATTTATTTCAATTGTTATATTATTTTTTTTAATTAATTATATAGATGTAGATAATATAAATTAGTTGGTTGAAACTCCTCTTCAGTAGGTATTTGTCCATCATTGCCAAAATTATCAGACCTATTTCCAATTACGTGTCTGTTTTGATCTTGCAAATCTTTCAGAATTTCTCTGAAAGGAGCTTGAAATTCTCTTTTAAATTTTCTCCCCTACGTATTATACTAAAGGATATTTTTGAACAAAAAAAAATCTAATTTTTTATCTAAAGCTATTTTTTAGCAGGCTAATTAAATTTAAATAAATGTTATGTAAAATTATTACACTGCTGGCCACCGTAAATGCAACACCAAGAAAGACAAGAGATAGCACAACAAAATTTATTTTGTAGATAACATGTTGACCAAGTATCAAATGATTAAATTTATAGACTTCTGTGAAGTGTAGTTCCTGCCAGAATCAGTAGCCAGAGTAGCCGCCATTGTTGGAGATCTAAGCTGTCACACGCCTCGGCATTAATTCAAAGAGACTTTGGATGTGTTCTTGGGGTGCAGCAGACCAAGCAGCTTCCACACGTTGCCAAAGTTGATCTGGTGTGGCAGCTGGGGGTGTAATCTGGGTCAATCGTTGAGCAACCATGGACCACATGTTTTCTATCGGCGAAAGATCCGGAGAGCGAGCCGGCCAGGGAAGCAATTCAATCTGGTGATTGACGAAGAACCTTTGGACAATGCGTGCCACGTGTGGTCACGCATTATCCTGTTGAAATATGGCTGTGGCCAAGCCCTGAAGGTAAGGAAGGACAACTGGCTCCAACACTTCGGAGATGTAGCGCTGGCTGTTTAAAGTACCGGCAATGCGTACTAGAGGAGTGCGAGAGTGATATCCAATACCGCCCCATACCATAATACCCGATGCAGGACAACTTGCGGACAGACCACTCTGCTATAAAAGGCGTCGAATGGTACGCGCAGACACTGAATGATGCGTTACAGACTCAATGTGCTGTGCTATGGTTCGTAATGTGACTGAGTGATCCGTCATTCCCATGCGCACAATTTGCCTCTCCTCACGTGAAGTGGTGGGCTGAGGTAGATGCGATCGACCACGTCAGTCCGTCGTACCCTACTGCATCCAACGGTCACATATCCGCATTATAGTTGTTTGGTTTCGTCCAACACGCGACTCCCGATTTCCCTGAAAGAAAATCCACAATCTCGGTAGGCCACTATCCTTCCTCTGTCGAACTCGGATACTTGGTCAAAAGCTGAACGCTGTTTTCTACGAGACATAACTGATCATTTTTTGAATAAACCACAAGAAAAACAGAATTGCCGAACTTGAAATCGTCGAAATCTCCAAGCCTTAAATAGTGCTTTGAGGTGGCGCCACAGGAGTGCGTGATGTGTGTCTGCGCTGAAATTCTAATCATTTGCATATCTTACCTCCGCTAATGCATGTTGTAAATTTCATGTTATTTGCGTGTTTCCTTCAGGGTGTTGCATTTACGGTGGTCAGCAGTGTATATCAGAACCCCATGTAATATGAAATTCAAGTTTTGTGCCATGTAATATCAATAATCCGTATATAATATTTTTATTTTTTTACTTTTTGAAAAAAAATTAGAAGAATCTTAATGTTTGATCATCTTTACCCTATTATCAGATATAAAATTTTACCAAAATTTTATAAGTGGAACAAATACAAATCTAATGTTAGTTTTGAATTCAATGAGAACGCGTGACTGTATTTATCACGTGACTGTCATGAATTTAGCTCATTCGTTTTCAACTGATTTTTTTTTTAATTTTTCTAAATTGATTTCCTATTCATTACTAAATTGGACGTGATTATAAAGGACCTCGAATTTCACTCTAAAAAATCATTTGAATCGTTTGCTCAAATTTTCAATCGTGAATAAAATACTTTCCATTTTCATCCTTTCAAGTTCAATTACATTTGTTTAAACTTGTAGTGGTTGACACTAGATGTTAAAACAGTTTTTTTTTCAAATATTAATTAAATTTAAAAGTGAATAAATAGTAACAAACAAAATTAATAGTCCACCAGCATATATAGAAATGAAAATCGTTGTTTCATCCCTGTAGCGCAATGGATAGCGCGTTGGACTTCTAATCAGAAGGTCGTAGCTTCAATTACCACCAGGAAGGGCCTAATTTCTGATAATATGATTTCTATTTTACTAAACTATTTTATTAAAATAATTATATTTAATTAATGAATAAATAGTAACAAAAAATAGTCCAACACACTATATAGAAAGGAAAAAAGAAAATTGCAAGGAAAATCGCTTTCTATTTAGTCATTTAATATTCTGATTCTGTCATATGTACATACATACTAGCTTGTATATCCGTTCTTCGCATGAGTGAATTCAAAAATTAAACAATACAGATTAATGGATGAAGAAATTTTTAATAAATTAATTTTACGCTAATTGCAAATGTAACAACAAAAAAAAAAGCTTTTTGCATATCTTAGCTAAAAAAAAAAAAAAACCATATTTGGTAAATTTTAAGTCTGTAGATCTAATAGCTAATAAAAAATATTTTTTTTTATTTATGACGCACCGTAACTCTCTTGTGGGTCGATTTTTGAAAACACCTTCCTAAGCAGATCTCTTCTCGCAAAAGTAACATATTGTTACAAATATTGTGTAATGTAAACGCTCAAAAAATAATGTAAATAATTTACATCTGGATGTGTAACACGTTAATATTACTTTCTGTTGTATTTATTTTATGTTAAAATTGTAAGATTCGCAAGCAACACCGTTCCTTACATTATAATGACGATTCAATGGGAAACATAGCGAAATGTTGGCGATAGAGCCAAGTTGGCATCATTTTTGGCGACACTGTTGGCAACTTGGAAATTGATTGAATGGTGCAAAAGTTGATATGCTGTAGCGCCACCTAGTAGGGATTTGCAACAAAGAGGATAGCACAAAAACTTTCTCCACAAAAAATACATATATTTGCTAATTTTCATAGTAATCGGTTGACAATAAAATTATAAAAAAAGAAAGAAAGAAAACGTGCATTGAAATAAATTATCAATTTTTATTGTATTCATGGTTTACTATTTTGGCGATAATGGCTTATACATAAAAGATAGATATATATGCTGTCACGGGGCTTTTTGTATATGTGATTACATACGTATAACTCTAACGGTTTTTACAACGCACCCCAGAATAGCTTGCAGATGGCCGAATTTTTTCCTACTCTTACTTGACATTTATCGTTATATTTTGGACACTCCACACAATATCTTTATAAATTATAGTCTTTGTGTTTTTCTGATGTATAAGCTATATTATTGTAAAGTTTCATTAAAATCCATTCAGTTGTTTTGCGTGAAAGAGTAACAAACTATCGTGTTTTTAATATTAGTAAGGATTTATATTAATTGTAACTATTTAATAAAAAGTAACCGAAATAAAAATTTTCTTCTGTGACCTAGCAGGAATTGATTAAAAAAAAATTTTTTTTATTACTCGTTTCTAAATTTTATTAACGAAAGTGAAAAAATTTCTTGTTTCATAAATTTATTTTTTACCTTTCACTTAGGTGAAACTGATTTCGAAAATATGTCTTTCTTATGTTCTAAAATATTTTTACGGTTAAAGTTTATAGCTTTTTCATTTCCTACTATTTAGTTTCCACACTCTCCCTATATATCTTGTACAAATTTTCAATCGTCAATAAAATACTTTTTATTCATCCATTCAAGTTCAGATACGTTTTTTAAAATTATAGTCGTTGACGCTTGATATTAATATAATTTTTTTTCAAATATCAATTCATTAATTAAATTTAATTAATTAATTTAATTTTACATTGGAGAAAAAGTTTGCCACTTATATTGTGATTTTGTCATATGTATATGTATATTAATTGTAATTAATTAATAGAAAATAACTTAAATAAAATTTTTCTTTGTTTCATCTAAGTAGGAATTGACTTCAATTTTTCTATTAATATATATTGCTTGTTTTATATGAACACAAAACAAAATATTGCAAGTATAATAATTCGTTAAATGAAGATTTTTGTTTCGTTTTAATAAAATTTCTTTCAGATGTTTCGAAATAAATTAATTTTTACCGAAGCATATTTTTCTTCATTCTATAGAATTTACTTAGATATTGAGATAAATGTAAATTTGATGTCTTTAGCGTTGTGGTTCGTGCTGCCATCAGAAAGTATAATTTCTTCATGTTACAAAGTTTTTTTTTTTTTTTTTTTTTTTGCAATTAAAAAAATCATGGATGTCAATCAGTCTTTAAACCTCTTTATTCAATTCCGACTATCAGTTCACACTCTTTTCATATTTATCTTGTTCAAATTTTCTATGGTTTATAAAATGCATTTTAAAGCACTCAATTGAGCTGAAATCTATGTATATAAAGGAGAAAAGCGACTCACTGACTGACTGACTAATCACGATATCTCCAGAACTATTTAACCTACAGGCTTGAAATTTGGTAGGCATGTTCCTTTCATGGAGTAGATCCGCTAAGAACGGATTTTTTTGCGAAATTCGAAACGCAAGGGGCGTTACGGGGGTTAAGGGGCGTTATAAATAATTATTTCCATTTTTAAACTATTAGACGTACAGTTTTTATATTTGATAAATAGATTCCTTTCATAGAGTAGACATCAACTACAAGATGGGTTTCGAGAAAATAGCCCCCAAGTGGCGTTGCGGGGGTGTAAGGGGCGTAATAGATAAATATTTTCGTTTTTAAACTACTTGACTTACCTGCTTGAAAATTGGTAGGCATGTTTTTTTTCATGAAGTAAATATTCGTTACAAAATTTTGTTTTGGAAAATTGACCCCAAGGGGTGTTGCGGGGGGTTAAGGGGAGACATAAATTAAGTAACCGGAATAATAATAATAAATCTATTATTATTCAATGACTTGTATAATAATGAATTTATCAATGGACAAGATTGGCAGATGATAACACGAAGACAAATTGACGTATATACACAAAGGAATATTATATAACAGATTATTTACCACAATGCAAAACGCTCTCATTATAAACGCATTTTACAACGTTCTAGAAACAGCTCTCTAGAACAGTTCCACTAGCTGAAACTCGGACAGATAAAGTATCTCTCGCAGTCAACGCACAAACAAATTCCAAACGCAACTGAGAGCAAACCTTCTGTAATTCATGGAAATTATAGAAGGTTTGATCCTATAGGCTTGTTGATGATTCCTTGGCAATATAATAATTTTCTTGAAATGTTTCGTCAAGGGCGATATAGTTTCTAGTCTGGTTACCCTGGTCACAGTTTTCTTTGGTTACTACAATCTCATTTTTCAAGTTCAAGCTGGAAAGCGAACTTTGCTTGTAAAGCCCAATCCTCCTACAAGGAGAACATTGCTGCAGGGCAGGACAACACACGTGGCGTGTTTCACTATTAAATGCACATAAATGATGTATCAGAAATCTAATTTAAATATATTATATGCATATTTTAAAAGTTTTCAGTGACTTTCTTCAAAAGATATTGCAAATTGTGTTAATATACATAAATAATTTTGGTGAGAAAGGAAGTAATTATGCTAATAGTGCTTTTTGTTCTGGATAAGGATTCTTATATACGGCACGCACTTACAATATTTTTTTTCTACTTTTTCCTCGTGCGGTTTGCTTACGAATAAATTATACTGTTCTCTCTCCTTTCTTCAGTATTTTCGTAAAAATACATCATTATTTTTGAAATTTCCCCATTATTAATATTATTTATTTATTTTTTATTATTCATTCTATATTTATTTAAGTAACGCAAATGGTAATTATTTTATGTATAGCTTTCATTTTAGGTAATGCTCCCCAACTTTTTTTATCTCCGCCGACCAGTCAACGCTTGATAATTTTACCGCCTCCAGCTGACGGGGGCGGGTACGTTGATTGATTATATTTTAAATTGCTTCGACTTAATAACTTTAATTTATTTGTATTTAAATACGCCTTCAGAATATAAAATAAAGTTACTCCAAAAAATGAATATAAAGGGATTTAACATGGAATATATATAAAGTGATTTATGTGGAAAGTCGCACAAATGCAAGAGAAATACACCATAGTAAATAAAAAGGAAATAATTTAATTTTCCTTGCGTGGACTGGGTGCTGGGGACCACTGATCTCAAGTATCTAGGAAAATATACATTGAATTTTTCAACTGTATAATCGACCCTAATACTTTTCTTTTGACTTCTTTGCATATTAAGGTATCCGACTACTTGCGACAACTTTTTTTTTTAATGGAAATATGGGGATTTTTTAGTGGTTTTTAGATTTATTTAGTGCAGTTTAAGAAAAATATGCTAAAACTAAGAAGAGAAAATAAATTATTATGACTTTAAATATAAAAAAATGGTAAAAATTTACAAAAAATGACATAAACAGAGCCCATTTTTTATAAAAAGTTTATGAATAAATTTTCAATTTTGATGTGTTGCTTTGCTACTCATTTTTGAAATGCCCTTCAGGATAAGAGATATTTTTTTAAAATTTTTACAAAAACCAGAGCACTGTATCTCAGTAATGATGTGAAATTGTTTTAAAAAACTGATTATATTCACATAAGGGACTAAATTTTGTAACGAAGCAACGATTGAGATACATCTGAAGGTTAAAACACTTGTACTATTATACAGAACATACACAAAAAATTTCAGTTAATTATTTTCAAAATTTTGTGAGCAATCACTGTCCTTGTTTGAGCATTTTCAAAAACAAAAACAAAAAAACAAATTTTGAGTAAAATGCATTTTAAAGTATGTCATCTTGTTTAAAGTAGTGGCATCTGCTTTTACTAAAAACACTTGTAGTTTTTGTTCTAGTGAATGGAAAATAATAAACTTTGTACTTGTATAAAGCTAATAATATGGCCTATAAAATTAAATCATAAAAAGGTTTGTCAACCTTTAGCAAAATTCATAAACAGGTAAGGTAGTTGGATGCCTCAAGGTATCTAACAACGTTCAGAACCGTGATTTTTCAAATGCATACAAACGAATATTTTTTGAATATTTGGGATCACGTATATTAGAATACACGTCGAAAATTGTTTTAAGAATATTATTATAATTAAAAATTATTTAAATACAATATATTTTGGTA